ATTGTTAGTCGGGGGTCATTTGATGGTCGTGTTCGTTCGTGTAATCCTTTCATCTGGAAACAGTGTTCGAAATTGTTGTAACCAGCGAGTGAGGAGCCTGATCCCTCTCCGTACGTCTATCGTGTGTTTCAGTTTTTACAAGCACAAACGGTGCACGTTCGTTTGCTGGTTTCGGTTACCGTCTTTTGGCCGCCCATTTAGATAAAAGAGCGGAATGAAGATAAGAATATTGACAACAAATTCAAGGGGAAGATAGAGGATTCATACCGACTGGGGTTACAAGAATATTTAGCAGATGCACGAGCGCCACTTACCATGATCTCGGGGTCTCCACCCAGGGAGTATAACGGGACCTGTGTGACACACTGTCCTGGTTAGTTTTCATACCCTCATGCCAGGTCTTTGTTTGACCACCATTGACTTTCTTCCATTCGCTACCTGCCTCGGCAAACATCGCTCGCCGAGGCGACCTATCTGATGATATGCGTCGCACGTCTTAACAACCTTATTCTATGGAGGTCGACTACTTGCTCCAGTGGATGACCACCTAAAACTCTACGCCTAATCTCAGCATTGCTCGTCCGGTTACCCCACCAGACTTGTGCAATGCCACGTAAACAGCTTTGTTTGAACATCGAAAATCTATCTTTATTCTATTCCCGTAGTGGCCAAGTGTCTGCACTGTTGAGCAGCACTGGCCGAACTGCTGCAGCATATACTCGACACTTCACAGACAGGCGGATGTCGGGACGGTGCCACAGATGTCTCAGGTTGGCAAATGCCAGCTGAGCTCTTTGTATCCCCGCCGACACTATCTGTGATGCGCCCGCCAGGTGAGATATAGCTGCCCAGACAGGAAAAGTAATTAAATAATTAAAGATTGTGACTATTACCGATAATTGAAACCTTCATCTCTCTTCACTTTCCTATTCACCACTTCTCGCGCTCACTTCTCAGACTTTTGATGAGTTGGCGTTTACTGAATTTGCGCGCTTTGTCGTATTTGCATCATGGTTTTGTGAGCGTCCAGCAGGGGATTCGTGGTCGATGGGATCCACCGTTTATGCTTTAGTCGTGCACCAGAATCTATCGTTGTGTTGCTTCGTTGATTACCGTCCAGTGTTCTTTGAGTCCTGCGACTGATGTTTGTGCTGGAAGGTGATCAAACAGTTCCGTTTCGAAGGCCGATTTGCTGGCATTGTATTATAGAAACCCGTATTTGGTGGGCTTTTCTGTGGTTGTTTTCCAGGCGTAGGGAAAATTTGGCTTGTAGCACAGTGTTGTCCGCTTCCGCGGGTGTTGACCGGTAAGAACGGTAGTCTTCAATGGACCCTCGCCAACAGTGGTTGATGGTGATGTCGATTTGAATGCACCGCCGTGAGGAGGTTGGTGGTTTCTATGCAAGGTGGTGTCGTTTCTTGTGCGAGAAGTTGGTGCTTGACAGGAACAATCCCTGATCAGCGCTAAGTTGGATTAGGCCTTTTCCGTTGTTCGTGCGGTTAGCTGGGATTATATGTGAACCACTAAGAAATCTTTCTGATTCGTCCAGAGGTCCCGCTTGAGTATGGAAGTCTTCAGTTATCACCACGATATCCGTTGACCGAGCACTTTGGGCTGGTTAAGATAAGTTCTTGTAGAATTCATCCTTGATTTCAGGTGTACTGCAATCACTCGGTGCAATCACGGATACGACAAATATGCATCGACGCTTCGTTTTTTAGCTGTTGATCCGTACTGAACTATCCAGGCAGTGCTAATTCGGCTACTAAACGGGATCTAGTCGAGAAGTGGTCGCTTGGCCGTGACACGTGTATTGTATTGTATTGGAGCTTTAGCGAGTTATATACCAGCTTTCAGCCAAAAGGAGACCACCGTTACAGTACTGGCAAAAAACTGGAAAATAGTGGGAAATCAAGCTTGAAAAAATGTGAATTAACTACTAAATGCATTATCCAGGTTAGACCGTACCATACTTGTCGGTCGGTATCCGGGTGAGTTATGGTACCGAAGAATTTCTGTCGGCAAATATCCGAGACGGGATGAGTTTCTATTTTAAACGTTTGGAGGGGTGGGATTTCCATGAACACAGCTCATTGTGTAAATGATGGG